TTTTGATTGAAGTGCAATGTTAATGCCCAATATTATTCTTTTTTAAATATTGGAATTTGACACAAATTTGAAACAAAACCTGGTTTACAATTTAATTTAGCAGAACTCAGAACATTTTCTTACACCTTTATTAGGCTGCCTCTACATACAGGCATTTTCCTTTGTAGAAAAGTAACAGTTTATCATTACTATCTATGAATGTACTGTAGGAATATAAAGAATGCTGTATGACTTAGACACACATTTGCGGGCGTAATAACAAGTTTTAAAAACACCTAGGTATTTTTTTCTGGAATTTCCATTGTTCGTGGCAGCGGGTGTACTAATTGAACAAAAAGAATATCTTCTTTTTATTTGACGACATCAGTTTGTGCGAGAGATGAATTTGCAAAACAAGGTATAAAAAAGTCTCGCCTAGTTGAAGTAAAATTACAAGTAGGCCGCTGCAATCAGTTTAATCCTTGGGTCTTTACCTCCTGAAAAAGTACATTTGCATTTCTTATGTCTAAATTTAATTTTATAATATTTTAGTCTGCAGCCAAAATAAATGACATATTTCACCACTCTTTTTCCATATGTTTATTGACCTAACACATCTACATGCGTTTAGGGCCCTGTAAGAGCCCTAGTGGGTTCAAGAAATAGAGCATCTTGGGTAAACCTATGACTTATTTTTTTGATTGGGTTGGATTGGATTTATTCGATGTAAACACCAAGGATAGCCCACGAAAGTCTTATTTCCAGTGGGGTCCTTCTGGGGGTGATTGGGCCGTACACCGGGAGACAATCCCCTACATTTTCATTAAATATGTTCCTCAAATACTTGTCATCTGATTTTACAGTATATAATATATCTCTGTGCAAAGAGTACTACAGTGACACAATTTCTAACGTAATGATTACAGTTAAAATATTGCATCTTAGATTGTCTTTGTAAATTTTAGTTGATGATTAAAATAAATGTGTGTTCGATAAGTAATATAATGCGAGCTTTTGTGTTTTTAGTACATTTTGATGGTAAATTATTAGGTTTTAAAATGCCTATTCCAGATAGCATGTTCTAAACCAGATTATGAAGTCATTCAGGCGTAATGGACGGTAACAAACGTCTGATTGAAAATAAAGGTGCAACCTGCAGGAGAACTCTATATATAACAATATTAATAATAATAATAATAATAATAATAATAACAATAACAATAATAATAATAATAATAATAATAATAATAATAATAATATTCATGATGATGATGATGATGATGACGGTGTCGGCGGCGGTGGTGGACGTGGTGGTGGCGGCAGCGGCAATCACATATTGATGTGCGTAAGGAGAAAATGTTTGTGCTGATTAACCATCCAGACGCGTGCACAGATCTAGATGAAATATACCATAGTGCCCTTTTTTTAATGTCTTGCAATTACTAGCATAGTTTGAGTACCTAATTATGTCCATTAAGATATCAAAAAGAAAAAATTGTACAGTAACACTAGTCTACAAAATGTTCGACGAGGATGATCACACTACAAAAACAACACATGCGAGAAATCATTCTAATTACAATAGTACAGTACAATGAAATTAAGAGAATATAGTATTTAGTATGCACTATATGCACTATGTATACTGTACCACTTCAGGGAGTGTGGCTGAAAACGTGTACCGTATGTTCTATAATTATAATTGGATAAAATATATTATAAAATTACCATGTTAATCACAAAATAATATATTCAGTTTTATTTTTACAGTTGCAGGTTCATGGGGAGGTGCCCTCCTCCCCCTCCCAATTTTTAAAAAAGAAAAATGTATTCGTCCAATAGTGGCATTTCCTGCATTCTGGAGGTGCCATAATCATTAATTTTCTCACCTCAACCCCAACCATGGTGGGACTGAGGTAGTATAGACTCTCCATCTGTGAAAGTCCCTCTCTGGGGCTCCCTCAATTTCGAATTCTTGGATCATCCACTTGTTTAGAATATTAATTATATGGCAATACTTTGGCCGACTTCGCTTCACTGATTATCTAATGATATTTGGTGGATCAAGAGAGGCTGATGTTCAGCGATGGTCTCTACAAAGATGGGAAGGGTAATCTCGCCGAAATTATGTTATCACAATACACAGCACCTTTAAATATACTCACAGGCTACAGTAAGCGTTTGCACTGGTCACCTGGTACTTACCTAACCTTAATTTGGATTAAATTTAGTGCATTGAATACAATTTAAAGTTATTTAAGGAAAACACTCTCTCGCGGAAATATGTGTTTCACCTGTTAATGTACCTTTAAATACCTTACAGGGGGTGGAATAGAGCTCATACGGTCTCCTAATACCTATATAACACTAACATGGAACAATATAGTGCATTAAATACAACTTAAAACTGTTTAAAGGAAAAAGCACTCTCTCGTGGAAATTATGTTATCCCAACACACAGCACCTTTAAATACTCTCA